AGTTTTATTATTTTATTACACCATAAGATAGATACATATGGTAAAAAAAAACCCACAAATGTTTGCTTAGCTTTCTGATACTCACTGTTTAAAATTGCCATGGGTACTGTTTAAAATTGCCATTAGTCCCATCATCCAGTAATCAAAAACAAAAACAACAACAACAAAGGCAGTGCGATTTGCATTTTTCTCATTAATATCACAGTGCATGTGAATGAATTAATTCACATGAAACTCTTACACATGACAAATCTGACTTCTGAATGTAAAACAGTAGGAATTTAAATTGCAATGAAATTTGTAACAGTACAATCATAATTAGTTTATATTTTCCTCATATGTATTGACAGGTAAATCCTAGTTATCAATAAATATATCAATTCATTGCAAAACTAAATTGATCTCAACTGTACACACACAGGGCTTATGCAGGGCTTCATAGGGGTGGCAGTTTTTCCAGGGTGAAGATTTTCAGGGTGGGAATTGGTCAGATTTCAATCCCTGAGCTTGCACAAACTCAGAGATTGGCTGGATTTTGTGTTCAAGGATTGGTTGGTTTCCCTGCTCAGCGACTGGTTGGTTTTTGTGCTGAATTGGTCAGGGGCAGAGTATGTTTCTTTGGCTTTGGTTTCAGGGCCAGAGTGTGTTTCTTTCACTGATTCTGGTTTCAGAGCCAAAGTGTGTTTCTTTCACTGGCCCATTTTTAGTCTTTTGGCTCTGGTTTCACAACCAGGGTGTGTGTGTGTGTGTGTGTGTGTGTGTGTGTGTGTGGTTTTCACTGGCTCTGCTTTCAGGGCCAGGATGTGTTTCTTTGGCTGGCCCTTTTACCCTACACCTACAGAGTTTTCTGTTAACTTTTTAAAAGGATTTTTATAGCCAAGTATTCATTCTGGATCAATCAGGGGTGGGACAAGGGTAGAAATGTGATATGGAAGGAAGTTGACAGTATCAGGGGAGATGAACTTGGACCAGAGAGGGCAGTGGTAAAGAGTGGTAAATACTGTAATTATAAGCATTAGGTTAAAAAAAAAATCAGTTGACCTCTAATTCTGTAGGGTCAACAAGTTGGATGCAGAGTAAAACAGAATGCGATCAGATGAAGGATGAAGTGAAATGCTCATTTTTCTCATTTGTCAAATACCATTGGGGGCACTTGATCATTCAACTACCTACGTGATTTCAGAATTTCTTTATCTCCATGTTTCTGTTTATTTATTATGGTGATGATGTTACAAGAATACTTAACTACTGTTTTCCAAGGATTAGCTGACAAAAGTTAACACACTTAAACTCTGCCATTCTCTGGATCAATTACAGGATGATGTTTATTATTAGTTAATTAGGCACAAGATATACACACAGTGAAAATTAAATACGCAAAAATGTTCCCTGGCCCTACAAAATGCTTCTCCCTTCTATAGAAGAATATTCACACTGTTAGAAGCCCAGCTTTTACCCTACCCCATCTATGAGAAGTTCTCTAATCCTTCAGAATTTCATTTTCCCTCTAACTTAAATGGCTGAAAAACAAGTTGTATCAATTGAATACCATTTCTCTCAAAACTTCTAACAGTCATACTAATGCCTGAGTGCTTACTATGGGTGACATACAGCATAGTGTATGAATTTACTCTCGCTCAGTTCTTCTGACATCTTTGGGAAGAGTCCTGTTATCAATCAAACACAGGCTTAGGAAGGCAAAGTAGTTTGCTGGAGGTCAACAGTGAGCATGAGGAAAGATGGGGATACAAACCTACATGGTCTAACACTGACACCCGTTCAGTAGCCCCTACCTCCTACACTTCTGCTTCTGCACATTCACCTGTCACAAAAGAGTAAGACTCTTGACCCTTACACTTCCATCTCTATCACATTTCCATTTATTCATATTAAGTTCTCATACAGAGGATTTATTGATAGAGATTTGATTTTTTTTGTGTGTGTAATGGAAAATAATCATTTCAGAGAAATGAATACAGAAAGGCCTTTTGTGGAAAGGGTAGTTACTGCTGGGAAAGGACAGTACAACTGTTGGCTTGCTTTCTTTCTTTCTTTCTCTCTTTCTTTCTTTCTTCCTTTCTTTCTTTCTTCCTTCCTTTCTTTCTTTCTTTCTTCCTTCCTTTCTTTCTTTCTTTCTCTCTTTCTTTCTTTCTCCCTACCTTCCTCCCTCCCTCCCTCCATCCCTCCCTCCCTTCCTCCCTTCCTTCCTTAGATATGCCTTAATGCAATGACTACAACAAACACAGTTGGTATTCAACAACTAATAAACCCCAAGAATTTAGGAAGACAAAAATACAGTGAGAACATTCCTTAATTTATTTTACACACAAAATTTAAATAGGAAGATTTATAAATCCCAGTTTCAGGACACAAAGAAATGTAGAAATATAAAGCATACTGAAGATACAGGTGCTGAAGACAGAGAAGTAAGAAACCTTAAGGCATACCAACCAAATAGTTAATAAAGTAAGGATCAGGGGCCAGTTAGGTGGCCCAGAGCGTCAAGATGTCCATGGTTAGACCTGATGACCCAAGTCCATTCCTAGAACCCAAAAGCAGAATGAAAAGAAGTCTCTAAAGTTGTCCTCTGACCATATGCACTCAGAAACTATAAGTACAGGTGCATGTGCGTGCATGGGCACGTGTGTGTGCTCATGCACAAGTACACACACACACACACACACACACACTTTAATTAAAATGAAAAAAAAAAAGATTGTTTGAAGTGTAATTCTAGCACTTTGGAGGCTGAGACAGAAACTGTCATTAATTTGAGGCTGGCCCAGGCTACAGAGTAAGGCTGTCTCAAAACAAAAGTCTAAAAACTTGGCTGAACTTCAGGGGACATAAAAATTGTTTTAAGTATAAGAATAGCATTAAGAGAGACTGGAACGATATCTCAGTTAAGAAGATTTGCTGCTCTTGTAGAAAACCCAAGCTTGGTTTCCAACACCAACATGGCAGCTCACAGCCATCCATAACTCCAGAAGGAGAGGATCCATGGCTTTTTCTGACCTTGGACTACAGGCACACATGTGCAATACTCACATGCAGGCCAACACTCATATAGATAAGATAATTAAATCTAAAAAATTCAAAGAAAAGAAAGAATAATAATAAGAATGCTTTTATATCCTCCACCCAGATTTACCAAACATACCAGATTTAGCTTTTGGCCAATATGGCCCTGAATGACATACAAGATATTCTTATAAGCATGAATATTTATAAGCTGTTTCAAAAACATTACATGTTTTCAATCTCCTCTTTATTCAGCATGTATATATGTATGTATATGTATGTAACATGAATGCATACATATGGTTTCTTAACTATTTAGAGTAAATTACATATATCATAGCTCTTTATCCTTAAGTACAACAGTATTCCCAGCAAAGATATGTAACTATAGTGCATTTAGATGTATCAAATTCTATTCAATAATTTCATCTATCTGATCTACCTTCTACATTCCAGATTTGTCTAATCACTCAGTAATGTCCTTTATTATTCCCTCTACTCCAGTATAGGATCTGGTCTAGGGTCAGATTTGTATTTCCTGTTTCTTAACTCTTCTTAATGTCCAGCATTTTATCAGGTTAGGATGTATGGTTCTGAAGAATATGACACACATATACACACCTTGACAGATGTCCCTCAAGGTTAGACTCAGGCATACACTCTCACTCAGAATAGCAAGTAGGTGACACTGTGTCCTTTTCAGGGTATCACATTTGAAGTGACAATGACTTCTTCATTGGTGAGGATAACTTTTAGCATCAAACTGTTTTCTCAATTTTCCACTGCATAATTACTATTTCTCCCTTACAATTAACTGTGGTTAGGAGAGTTACTTTGAAACCACATAACTATGCAGATATCTTGTTCATTAAAATTCCCTCCTCCTAAATTTAGCATCTTAATTTGTCCCTAATTCAATCCTTACAAAAACATTCAAAACGCTTCTTTCCAAATGTAGCAGTGTCGCTGCTGTTTCCCAGTCCACACTCCACTATCACCGTGAGCCAGGGTGCGCGTCTCTCCCCATGCATTAGCTAATCTAATTATACATGGTATGGGCTTGTGAGCTGTCATTATTTCACGGTGCCTCATTTACAACCGTGATTAATACTTTGGTGTCCTGGTTCATCCAGATGCACGCCCAGAAGTCCCTGTCTGGCAGCTCCTCGTGGTAAGGTCCTGTCAACTTCAGCACTTGCTTACTTTGTGAAGTTGCTCCAGGTGTAACTGAGCTGACCTCTCGGCCCCGAAACCTGGCATCTTTCTGGGAATTGACTCTCCTTATATGTACTTTCAGAGGTTTACCCTGGTCTCTGTCACGGCCATATTGAAGATGTGAGTCACGCATGGCTCTGTTTGTCTTCTTGGTCGATTTAATGCTTTCTATGAGGGGGGTATGGGGGATTCAGAGTCAAGCTACCACTGATCTCTAACAGGGTTCAATTGACACTGAATTCTTGGTCAGAGGGTACTCCCTGTTCCTGTTTCTACTTTTTCACATTGCTCTTTCTCTTGTTCTGATCTACTTCCGACTTTGAAGACAGGGGAAAGTGAAGGCAAATTCTTAATCATCTATTATTAACTACTAGCTGCAACAACGTTCTCAGGCACAGTTTCAGGGAGGAGTACTTGTTTGGCTTTTCTTTAATAAAATTGTGGAGTACAAATAACAAAAGAAAGAAAGAAACAGAAACAAATGGGAAATGAAAGAGAATAGAAAAGCAACGAGACTGATCATTTTGGTTCATGGAAGCCATTTCAGAGTTTTAAAATTTGTTTGAGTAACAGAGCAGGACTCTAATGGGTATAAACTTCAAGTGCTCAATTTTAAGAATCTACAGCTTTCTCCTATTTCATTTGCACTAGCAAATTCTGAGATATGGTGAAGTATAGCTGCCTTAAAATTACAAAGGCTCATGCACCCCCACATTCATGAACCTCCGTACCCCCCCCCACACCCTATCCCCTCACAGACTTACCTGCTTCACATTCTGGAGCTCTTCTGTTAACTGATTCCTATGCTTCTCTGATTCAAGTAGTTTCTTCTGTGTTTAAAAACCACTGAATTAATAGCAAGTCATCTCGACACGAAGTATGATTTCTAGTCTTCTGTTTCAAAGTTAATCCCCCAAACATCAAATTGCTAAAATCTCCTAATGCAATTCCTAGTAATTTTCCTGGTTTCACATAATATTAACTAGTAGTTATCCAAGTATAATTGTGGTGAAAACTTTCTTTATTACCTTAATGTTATACAATGTCAATATCTGAGATCCAAAAGAAGTCAGGATTGAAATGTGTAAATCTCAACTAAAGTTTGAGTGACAGCTACCTGCCAAAAGGGCCTTATTATTATGAATTGGACATTAAAAGCTTCTAATAATAACAAAAAAAGACTGGGTTGATTCTTAGTTTCCTAATGTAATTTGAGGCCATTTCTGAACAATTAACTCACAAAAAGGATATAACTATTATAGCCAAAATATGAAATATGTTGTTGAATTTAACATAAATATATAACAGTATCATCTTTGAACCTAAAACTAAACCAGGCATGTACTCTGAGATGTCCCACCTTGTTGAGTGGTCTTGTCAGAAATTGTTAATGACTCTGGAGCCAGCTTACTGACTACTTGGACCTTAAATAGAGTGGTGAAGAGTCATAGAAACATCACCATGTTTAGAAGAAGCAAAATCTGACCTCTGGAGTAACTCAGCCTGCTCTGGTCTTGGAAGGTAATAGTAATATAACAGAGCAGTCTAATGGCTGCCACAGGTAGGCATCGGAGAGCCCGGGGGCTTCTGTGGGTTATGCTCTGCAAGCCCCTTTTACTCCTGGTGCTCTGCTGTTTTCCTTTGCACCTATAAATGGGAAATGCACCTATTCCCACTCTTCTGTCAAGAACAGGAACAGTTTGAATTCTGTGAAAGTCTTAACTAGTTTCCATAACACTATTAAGAGGACTTCTGCAAAATAAAAAGTAGCCATGGGCCTAATTGCACCTCAAGTGAGCCGTCAAAGAATGCTGATGAGTGGTAGAAGACCATTTCTACTCTATCCTCATTTAACAAGCTCTGCTGCGTACTTTCTCTCTCTCTCTCTCTCTCTCTCTCTCTCTTTCTCTCTCATATGCCATTAATACAACCTTTAATTTTTAAATTAAATTTCTTCATTTTATTCTATGTGTATGAGTGTTTGACATGCATGTATGTATGTATGTGCATCACATGCGTGTTTAGTGCCCACAGATTCAAAAGAGGGCATAGAATCCCCTGGAACTGGAGTTATGAATGGTTGTGAACCATCACATAGGTGTTGGGAATAGAACCTGGATTCTCTGTATGAACAACAGGCATTCCTAATGACTAAGATACCTACCCAGCCCTGATGAGACTTTAGGAATGAGTGTGTCTCAGAGAAAAGATTTATTGTAGAGGAAATTTAAAGCAGAATCTTTTTTATTCTGGGACTTCAGGTTCTGTAACATTAAAATATGCTCAATTACAGCTCATGAACTTGAAAGGTGATCTTGATTAAATGGCTCCTCATGGGGCCCTTGCTTAAATGTTACATGAGTGTGACTTATACAGTTTTAAAACTAAAATTCTAGCAATTAATATTGGCATTAAATTAAAACTCAAAATATATCATTAAATCTACCAGTGATAACATTTAGGGAAATGAAAAATATCCAAGACCCTCTGAAACATCTGACATCCATGGATTTTTTGTTTGTATAAAGATGAATCACATAGAAAATGCTGTCTTACCAATGTGACCAACACTACAGGACTGTTCTAAGAGAGTAAGAAGAAACTAATGATTTGAAAAAATGAATTCTACATTTCCATCTAGATATACCAAATTGTAGAAAGGTGGCAATTTCAGAGTTATAAAATATAATCATAGTTGTGGGATATTCATTTATATTCAAAGGAATATGAATTGCTAAAGCCTTATGAAAGAAAGTTGGGAGAAATATATAGAAGGTTTGGTATTCTTTAATATTGCAATTCCATTTTCACAGATTTACTGTGAACTTTCACAAGTGCTCACCCACACACATCTACAGTTACTAAAAATGCACTTATTATTATTTTTACAAATTTATTTCTTTATTTTCACGTGTGTGTGTCTATTGTATGTATGCCATGCATGTGTGGGTGTCTTTGGAGGCCAGAAGATGGTGCTGATGTGGTTGTTGGGATCCTAACTGGGGTCCTCTGGACTAGGAGAAAGTTCTCATAACAGCTGAGCCATCTCTCCAGTCCCTGGAGTTACTTTTGATAATGGAAAACTGAAGATAACACACATACCCATTAACAGAGAAATGGCTAAAAGCTCTGTAAAAGAGGTGGCTGCTATAGGGGATCTCTACCATGGAAGACACAGGCATGTGTGGTAGTAGCTAACATGACTCATCTTGAACACTGGAGAATCAGAAGCTGAGCTGTAATAAAGTGGCTCTATAAGAACTAATGTGTGCACAAGTTCACACACATAAACTTCTTTTTAATTGTTTCAAGAATTCATTTTGAGGGGTTATAGTTAAAGGTAGAGGATGGTACAGAAGTTCCCATGTATTTATTTTAAAAAAATGTGATTTTGCTGGGCAGTCTTCAGAAACTCTCTGAGGCAATATTCTAAAAAATTTTTAATGTTGGCTTCCTCTAAAGACTGGCATTATAAAACAACAGTAGAAAGAAAATGGTGTTTCTTTTTTGAATAAAGAATTCACACCAAAGTAACTAAATTAAATAACCAGAAGACTTCACCTAACAAAACAATTTAAAATGCATATTTTTATGGTAAAGCGATCATAAACTAATTATGCTTCTTTCCTTGGAACATATAATGACTTCCTGTAAAAGTTGGCTTTAACTGAAACCCAACATTTCACTAAGAACAGAATGCCACTCTAGAGAGCAAATCAAAACGTTCCTGTATTTGGAGCACATGTTATTTGTCCCACCCTGAAAACATAGTGCCTTCATTTTTCAAATTGCATAAGCATAACAAACATGGGCCCTCAGACATGGCCCTGCACCTGGAGGGTGGGAGGATGTATTTCCTACGAACATCGGAGGATTCAAAATTGCCACAGCTTGCTTAATTGACTCCTCAACTACATCTGCTGTTACCACCAATGAGAGAAGGAGGAAGCAGAGGCAGATCAGACATGAGAGGAAAACCTATGATGCACACGGGATCTTATGTGTGCATCATAAAGTGGATAAAACATGAATGGGGAACTAAAGGATAGCTCTCTCAAGACAATTAAACGATTTGATCCTGCCTGATACTAACATACTTCATTAAGAACAAAACAAGATCACTACTGCAGAATTCAGCATGGCATCATGTCTTTAAAAAGGAAACATCAGGAAGCCCAGGAGGTGGCTGGTTACCTTAAGCACATTCACTTCTGCCCGAGCGGCATCTCTTTCTTGTCTAAGTTTTCCCACTTCATCTGCTTCTAGAGAATCACAGGGAAGAAGCTGTCAACATTAAAATACACAAGTTATGCATCGGGAGCTACCCTTGCGTACAGAAAGTCCTTTTTCACTACCCTCAAACTCATGTTTTATTTTGGGCTTGTTTGATTAGGTAAAAGAAAACTAATGGATGGGCACATTTCTCTCGTCAGCTTTCCCTTATACTGTTGTTACTTACAATTTTTAAGATTAAGAATACATGTTTATGTTTTAGATATGTATATTTTCCTGTTATGTGCATGCATTTGTGCCTGTGTATATGCAACACATACGTGCAATGCCTATGGAAGCTAGAGGAAGGCACTAGAGCCTCTGGGACTGAAGTTACAGGCACCCTACATTGGTGCTGAGTCTTGAAATCAGGTCCTCTGTAAGGGCAGCCAGTGTGCTCAACTACTGGCCCATCTCCAGAGCCAAGCTCTCTCCTGTAGTGCTAGCCACTACCTCACATGCTTTCTGAAATTTCACATTATGACTAGTGGGATTTATTACTACATCTTTACTAGGAGGGGAGTGGGATGGTTCCCTTTCATCCAGAAACTAAGTGGCCAAAATCACTGTCATGCTCCCACTGTGACTCTTCACAAATGTTTCACGTCCCTCTCCTGCTGTACACGTATTTCAAACGGCTTTGATTGTTTGTACCTGTCAAGAACTTTAACTTGTATGCTCGAAAGCACCATCTATCCACCCACCCATCCACCCACCCACCCACCCATCCATCCATTCATCCATCCATCCATCCATGCATCCATCCACCCACCCACCCATCCATCCATCCATCCATGCATCCATCCATCCATCCATCTATCTCCTGAATGAGAGTTTCTTATTTCCCTACATCTACTGAGGTCCCATCATTCATAAACATACTAATGAAAAATGGAGTTATTGTTATCTCATTCCTTTCCCCTGGTTGTCACAAGTAAATGGTCAGCAAGTTCCACTGATGACATACTTGTTTTGTGTTCATATCATAGATCTATCACTCCATTCTTGACACAATTGCTGTACTTTAATTCTTCTGCATTTGAATTTTCTCTATCACCCCCCCACATCCTAACCCCAATTTTCCTTTTTATAGAACTAACACGCACAGTTACTATTTCTAAAATGTCACTTTGATTATGGCACAATATTCTGTTTCATGGATTGCTGCTACAGATGAACATATAAAATTATATATTAGATTAGGCCCACATATAATGTGTACGCACATGATTATCATTTTTGAAGACTACCTTCTGCTAACAACCACATTTTATCTTTTCTCTGTTTTATTCTAACACTTTTATTGGTGACAGTGGGGTGGTGAGACGGGTCTCAGTCTGGAGCCCAGGTTGGTTATGAACTTGCCTCAACCTCCCAAGTGCTGAGTACATCACACAACACCACACCCAGCTTCATTCTAGACTCCTTGGCCACCTCTGAGATTAAATTCAACCTTGCTTTTAAAAATGAATTCAAATGCTAACTTTGTTATACATACCCCTGAATGTTCTAAGTTACTACTATTCTAGCCTTACTACACAATGTACTTTGAAAATTTTAATTATTTGTGTATTTGGCTTTCTGGTAAACTTTAAGAGGCAAATTTCATCTATCTTAATTAGCATGTGTCATGGCACCTAACACATTGTAATTTATCAATGCATATCTGACATCATAAAGGTGGGTCTTTAGAACTTACTGATAAACACCATTTATTTCCTGAACTACCATTTATTTCCTGACTCAGTGTCAGCAAACATTACAGTCCCATCATATACAATTCCGTTTGATATTTTCATTCAGTTTTATGTCATTTGTTAAAACAATGGCCTCAATACACCAAACTAACAAGAACTTTGGGGAATGTACATTTACATGTTCACTGCTGTTTGAAAATAATCCATTCATGAAACTTGATTAGACTGATATATTCATCATACTCTAATGAACTACAGTCTGCTGCCAAGTCTGCAGTTGTGTTGGGTATGGATGTAGGCTCCAACCTTCCCTTTTCTGTGTATGACCTTGTACTGGCAGCAGGTGTAGCACCGTGTGATGTTTTTAATATAGAAATGATTATTAGAATCACAGCAAGATGCTTATATTTTGGGTTCTAAATGCCACATTCTCCTAAATCCAAAAGTTCATTGTCAAATAAACAAGAGCAGTACTGACAAACACTGACTCAGCAATTCCTCCTTAAAGAGGTGAGAACCCAATATCTGAGTCAGAGAAAGTGACGATTGGAAGAGCTAGTCACAGGGCACACACCCTGTGATTCTAGTTATGAAGTGCAAGAATGATGGACTCCATCTCTGGTCAAAGGAGCAGTTCCATGTCCAGGTGAGAATGGAAGCTGACCTTGAGAGATTTTTTTGCTACATGCCAGGGCTTCATATTTAGTAGCACACACCTTTAATCTCAGCACTCGGGAGGCAGAGGCATGTGAATCTCTATGAGTTGGAGGCCAGCCTGATCTACAAAGCGAGTTCCAGGACAGCCACTGCTGTTACACAGAGAAACCTTGCCTCAAAAACAAAACAAAACAAAAACAACAAAAAGAGACACATGATAGATATGTAGCAAGCTGAATACTTATTATCTCTGTATCTCATTATATATTTGTGATAGTTCAGTAAAGTTATGAGGATATTGAGAAGCTAGATGTGGTGGTATATGCCTGTAATCCCAGCACTTGAGGGTAAAGCGAGGAGGAACATGAAATCAAGGTTAGCATAGGCTACATGCTGAATTTGAGGCTATCCAGGGCTGCAAAATCAATAAATGAATAAATAAATAAGTAAATAAACAAACAAAACAATAAAAACCCAAAGAAAACAAAACTAATAAATATAAAACAATGGATTATGAAACAACAAACTAGGACACAGTTGCCAGCAGAAATTCTCTGGAACTTTTTCTGCTCTTTTCTCCTCTTCCTAGGTACAACATAAATCCTAGTTCCCTGCCTCAACACTAGCAACATTTATTCTTAAGGACCCTTCCCTAGGACAGCAATCACAGACTTCCACTTGGAGCCTCTCTGCTTTTTTGACCTCTAATTCTGAAAGCGTTAACTTTCATATCCTCTTACCCACTTCCCTTCTGGAAGTTGCCAAAATTTCCAGCTGGCCTGCTCTGTTGCTTTCTCTTAACTCCAATAGAAACATCCTCAAGTTTCCTTCTGAATCCATCTTTAAATTGTTTTATTTGTAACACAGACCTTGTACCAGGGATCCTCTGTCTCCTGCTGTTGTACTGTTTGGTGATCCACATGAGGAGAACTGAAGGAGATCTTCTCAGATAGAGAAGGTCATCCTATATGACTTCAGACACATAAATGAATTTGTGGACCCATAATCCATCACTTCAGCTTTTGTTGTTAATTTATCTGCTAGCGTTTGTGTTTATGAATGCCCCCACCAGAATCCAAAAACCCAACGTTTGGGTGATGATGCATTAGAGAATCTGGACAGTGTCCCAGATAAACAAAAACAGATGCCAGGACCTTCTGATAGAGAATGGACTGCCTTTTACTCCTCTGCTCCTGTGGCTCACTCTTGCTTATCAAGGAGTAAGAAGTATCTAGATGAAGAACTGAACATTCCCACCTACCCTTCTATGATTATGAAGGTTCTTATTTCTCAAGGAGGAATTATAGGGGATGGTAGGAAGAGAGAAAGGAACTAAAAAGGGCCATCAGCTTTTCAAGTAACAGTTAAAAGACATGCACATCTCCATCAGCTTTCTAGTAAAATGGTATGAACCATGGGTAACATCTTTCCTAATATACACAGTAAGTCTGCCCCTTTTTGGAGACCACTTTTAAGATATACAAATACCAACATAGTAACATTCTCTAATGCAAAGTGCATGGTTTATGGCTTATGGTTGGTTACCCCCTCTACAAATAGTTTGGCTGGAAGATGACAATACCTTTTGATGTGGACAAGAAAAGGCCTTGCCCAGCCAAGGCAAGTAGACCTCCTCCAATGAGGGAAAAAAGCTTGTTTTACAACCTCAAGATAGGTACCCTGATGTCAGAAATATACAGTTGGAGGCATGGCAGGTAGGGGAGGATTAACATCCTCTTAATGAGGTATGTACTCATTTACCCCAAAGCTCCTCTTCAAGCAGCTACCTGCAGACCCTTACTGCTAAGCTTGTTTACCTTCTGAGTTCTGACTCACTGAGCAGTAACATTTTCTCCTTTCCCCTTTCCATGTCTCTTCTCTAGACTCTGGCCAGAATCCCAAGCCTCATTGTTCTGATACTCATGGCATTTCATTCTCTCGAAAGCCCCCCACCCCCACAACCCCAGCCCAGGGATCCCTGACTCCTTCAGGAGGTAAAGCCTAGTGGAAGGTCCATGCTTTTTGGCTGGGCCTTCCTGGCCTTCTATTATCCATCTCTTTCCCCACAGCAGCTGACATCTGCAACTTACTTGCTCTGTATTTTCCCTCCCAAATGCCATTGAGATTGAGCTCAGCCTTAGTTTCTGATTCCATTTAAAAATTCTTTTAGCTATATGACTAAGAACCTGAAAAGGATAATCTATATCTCTTGGTAATATTCCCACTCTTAGGCTTAAATATGTGTCTTTCATTTTTTCATTCCGTTCCATTCTTCATCTACTTTGGCTTAGTTTAACTTTGCCTGCTTTATCTTCCTTCCCTCAAGGCTGAAGGCACAGAGACAAGTCACTGTCCTTAACCTTTCCTCTTAAAATGCCCTACAGCCCAGGGACAATGGGACTGGAGACAAGTGACTAAATCTACGCCCAAGCAAAATGAACCTATAGGACACAACACCCCAGAATGAAAGCAACTCTCAGCAATACAGAGTGTGTTCCCCGGAGCAGAACCATAGCAACCAGTCTCCTGGGTTGATGACATCCAAGGACCATGTTATAAGTGCTGTAGCTCAGGCACAGAAAGGTGGTCTCACACCTTGACCAGGATTACTTAATTATTCATACCTCCTGGCCACGACCCAATTCTTGCTCTATTTACAATGAAAGCTCACCCCAACACCTGGGAACCACTAGACCCCTTTATATGTTTTTCCTAATGGACCACAGTTAAATAAAACTGCTCTCCCTGCTTATGACACAAAAAGGGAAGAAAAACATCAACTGTCTTTATCAGCCACAAAGAACACATGCATACATCAGCTATCTTTATTAGCCACAGAAGGGGAATACTGGCACCCCACGTAAAATAATTATAAACTTGACCCTATTGTTGTGGAAATAAGGCTTCTTAGGGCAGCCATAGTGGAATTTCCCCACTTTCACAGATTGTCAACATCATCTACCTCAGACACTGTCTGTTTCAGAGTAGGCACTCCACTGTTTTTTAATTTAAACACTATTGGGACTTACACAATGAAACAATAACTTGGTTTTCATTTGATTTTGGTGAGCTTCTTAACAAGCAGTGACTTTGATAGTGCTCTTAAAATTGTGGTATTTTATCCCTTCATGAATTGCAAGGTGAAATTTTTAATGAAATAGAATTCAATAATATTAAATGAGAATTCAGTATGTGCTTTGGGAGACTTCTTTCATTGTACATGTGACTGGAATGGGAAATGTATTCTTATTATGGATTCAATTGGAGAAAAAAGGAGAGCTCATACTTGACAATAATATCATCTGTGTGATGATAAGCAGATGGCAACAAATAGAATTCCATAAATGAATAATGACTATTGCACAACATTTTGATCTACAGCCTCAACAGGAAATCATTGGCACACAGAGCACGTTGCACAACTGCCATCGGTATGGTGCTTTTGCTTTCAAAGCACTGCAGACTGACTACACTTTTATCTGCCCTAAAATCCTGTTGATAAGAAGGAAACAAATTACTCATTCAGAGCTTGTGCATCACTTTACAGCTGTTCCAAAAGCCCTGCATGCTCATACAGGTCCCTACGTTACTGTCAGACCATGAACAAGCATTGCCTTTGCTCAAGAAATGGGCACATCAACCTTGAGAACTGTTGGGCAGTAAGAGACAGATCTGCCTAGCTAAGTACCTAAGACCCGCATTGGCAGAAGTAAAGAGGGCTCCACACTGCAGTTTTTGGTTAAATGCCACAGGATTCTTTCTAATAAGTCTGCACCTTCATTCTGAGAAAGCCAGGTACTCTCTTTGGAGTTATTGAATAGCTAGGTTTTTGGATGACTGTGATGAGTAAAATGATCTGTGGTAAAATATTTATCGAATTTTTCAAAAACTGGTTTGAAATGTTAAAAAATGTGGCACGAGTAATCTTTAAATGAGAGGATCAGATTCATTTTTACCAATAAATTAGTCATGCAGCTACTCCGCATTTCCAGCATCATATATCTAATACCAGATTTGAAGGTCTCTGTCAATTAGACCTATTATTTAAAAGCAGTCAGGCTAAGGTTGTTCTTAAAGGACTCACATTTTGGAGACATGGTGTTGAGTGTGCAGTGATAGGGTGGAGGGTTTTTAGGAGGTGAAGCCCAGTGAAAGGTCGCTGCTTTTGGATTCTAAAATGTGATCACTTATCCTCTTTCCTTTGTGATGCAACCTGTCTACAGGCCTTCCCCACAGGTCCATTCACTCATCTCTCCAATCTTGGACTTTGATCTGTGACTACAGAGCTGGCAGCTAGAGAAACTTCTTAATCAACCTAACCGGCTATAGGCAGTTCATTACAGTAACCAAAAAAAAAAAATTATAATACTACAATTAGAGCTCTAAATATAATTATGAAAAGTGTGTTGGTGTGCACATTTTCAGAGGAAAAGACAAGGGAATTTTCTTATATATAAACTTTAACTAAAATAGAAAATATAAGGCTTCTAAATATAAAGTTATATCAGAATATCATTCAACACATATAGAGAATGGAAGAGCTAACTAATAAAATGAAAGACCCATTTCTGAGTATAAAGTATTGATGTATAAATTTAGAAGAACAATTAGAGACACTAAAAGCTACCGTGTTTGGATTCTATTAGATGTACTGTAAATAATTACAGAAAGTGTGATTATTGGAAACCAAAAAAACACTAGGATAGTATTGAGTTAGGTAGAAAAACACAAGAAAGTATTGTAGAGCCAGACAGTCAATAGTTGTACACATCCAATGTATTACAAAATACATTTTGTAGAATGTATTACATTCTACAAATACATTTTGTAGAAAAATACATTTTGTAGAAAAAAATCTTTTTCTAATAATATCACAAAGTATACCAATTTTGGTAGTTAATCTGATAGAAATATTTGAGGTGTATATGAAACTGTCATACTTTTCTCTTTTCAAAACAAGAACAAGAATATAAATAAGAGAAAGTAAGTCATGCTCAGTTCATAACCAAATCATTATGTAAATTCAATGCAATTACTATAAAGTGCCTCAAATATTTGATGTTAAGGAAAAATCATTTAAAACTTTATTTTCAGATTAAAAGAAAGAAGCTAATAACAACAGCCTTAGCTTACTAATATCAATGAAGCTAGTGTTAGCTAAATATAATGCGCTAGCAGAAAGGTGAGTGAATAGGATAGAGAGTTGAACAAAGAACACATCTGCATACATAGTTAGATATTTACTATATGCTTAAATTTGCATTTCTAGTCAATGGGAAAATCAGAGAGAAAAGGGTTACTAAGGGATAGTGGAACAAAGACCAATAGTTACACATACATAAGCAAGAATGCCTTTGGGCTTAATGAGATATGTGAACTACATATAGTATATATTTGGGCTGAACGTTTCCATTTCCCTTAAACAATAAATGCCAACAATCCATAACAGAAAGGACTAAAAGACTTGATGAGGTAAATTTCGAAGTTGTGTTGATAAAATGACTCACGAGGTGAATAAGCTTCATAATTCTATCTTACTAAGACACAAAAGCTGGCAAAACTTTGTTTTGTTTTAGGAAGCGCAAGTGTGTTTGTGTTTGCCCTGACTTTTCTGAGTTGGGAATGAAATGGAATACACATGGAGGAGAGTACCTGTGGGTTTAGAAATGTATGCTCTTAACATTATACCTCATGGGAATGGTTCAGATTGTAACATGTAACTGGGTGTGTGTTCATAGGCACTTTTCTGTGCATATATTATGATGATTCCAGACAGATTGGCATGGGAACACACATGACTCTGTGTTGCTAGCTAATGAGAACACATGACTTTCTATGTGGCAGACTGTCTATACTGCTGAAGTAAGGGGTGGAACCCAGCACAGGGGCCTGAGGAAACAGGAGACTGAAAAACCTTCTACTTTTGATCAATCTGTGGTTTTACATATTTATTCAAGGAACATGTCCTGTTCATAGAATTTGTGTGTGTGTGTTTGTGAACCTGTGTGCACTTGTCTACACACACATGTGTAAATGCATGTGGATGCACATGGAGGAAAAGGCTGACATCAGGCATATTTCTCACTTGTTTTTCACCATGGTTTTTGAGATGAGGTTTCTCATTGAACCTGGCATTCATCAAGTCAGCTAATAGGCCAGTAAAGTCCTAGAGATCCTGTCTGCCTACTGAGCACTGATGATTAGGGGTACTCAACTCCTACTTCCATGTGAGTACTAGAGATCCAAGCTCAGTTCTACACATCCACATAAGTAATAACTGAGTAATTTAAGAAATTAAAAGCCAGTGGAGCCAAGTGTTGGTGGCAAACATCTTTACTTCCAGCACTCGGGAGGCAGAGGCAAGCGGATCTTCGTGAGTTTGAGGCTAGCCAGGTCTATAGAGCCAGTTCCAGGATAGGCTCCAGAGAAACCCTACCTTGAAAAAAAAAAAAAAAAAAAAAAAAAAGGACATACTCTACCTGTGAGTCCAAGATGCTTGAGATCTCATGGACACCAACATTTACTTCATCCAACTGCAAGCAAAACAAATTTCTGGCAACCTGGACGAAATCTAAATTTACACATTATGGTAAGAACATAGCATTTATTTTCATCCTAACATATTACTTTCTTCTCCAGAAAGCTAAAATTATGAGTTTCAGGTTAACCTACACAAATTATTCTAAAACAGTATTGGCGACGGTGACAGGTAAACATCACTTTAAATAATAAAAAAGCCGTGTTTTATATCAGTTAGCTTTGTCACATAATTCAGTTAAACAATAAAGCAAATAGATATCACAGATGTCTAATTCCCCAGTTCTCACATTATGTACACAATGCTTTTTTGAAAAAAAAAAAAAAAAAGGTAATATTCTGACATGGCTTTTCAGGTTGAAAGAATCTTCATTATAACAGCAACAGTCAGTTTATGTAAACAGTTGTGTGTGCCTAGGGATCACCCTCATACCATCTCTCACCTCCTCTGAGGCACGTCCTCCTTCTCTACAGATGAGCTAATCAGGGCCGAGACAGACTTTCTTAAACTTACCAAAGCCTCTTGGAAAGTTGAGCATCAGAGAAGTCCACAACTTAAAGACACTGTGATGGTCGGCCCATCTATGTATCTTCAGTAAGTTTTCATGGTAACTATTACTTTGTAATTTCAAAGGATCCTTATACGCGGCCTCCGTTCTGACTTTACACATTTCTGCTCTTATTTCATGGCTGCATTATTTATTTTTTCTCATCTTTCTAATTAATTTATCTAAAGGTACCTTCTGCCCTCACCATTTCTTTTTCTTTCTGTTTTTCTGGTACTTTTGAGATGGATCTTATCAAATGTCCAGAAACCCGTGATTTTTGAGTTTACATTTAACAGTTAATAAGGCACTAAGAAAGCTGGTTGGAAATTATGTGTGCATAACTGGCCTTGCCAACTGGAAGGATTATTTTACTATAGAAAAAAAAGAAAACAGTCTGGTGGTCCGCTGGCATTTTTGTTTAGATTCCTCAGAGACACGCCTTAAATCCCCTGCTTTGATTATAAACATGGATGCAAATGTCACTAAGCATCTGGGCAAATGTTTTGATCAGTGACTCAAGACAGACAACTCCAAATTCCCTTGCTGCTACTAAGTACAGTTCCACAATATTTGGTTCAATTCATTCATGAGATATGTACTTTTCCCCCTGGAAATTTAAGCAAGTAATAGGTGCTATATTGACTGAAAAAGGGAGAAGGAAGCATGGATAAATGTCCGATTCAGTATTTCTAAGAACTCTGTTTTAATGTGCAGCCTCAACCAACCTAAAGTCATACTGGTACTCCACATTAGCTTGCCCTGCCTGTGAGTCCTCCATCTTCAGATTCCCGTGCATCACCCACCTCTGCACACTGATGCAGGTACTGCTCTCTCTGTACTTGTCTTCTGTCCTTATAAACATACGTATATACATACACACACATATATAAATATAAAACAACCCCTCCCAACACACACACACATGCACACGCACACGCACACAACTTATAAGGGCAGAAGATGGGTGCAGAGAGAGCAGTGTGTGTTGAGGGGGGATTATTGTTGTAGTCTAATGTTTTAATTTCCTGTTACTATTATTGGGGGGATGATTTTCATGAAGAGATGGGACCCCAAATATCTGGTTTTCCTCATTTCAAATACTAAAAATGAATTTTTTTCATTTCAAGAGAGATGTTTTAAAATGACACAATGTAGCATTCATTGTGTGTGCTATAGAAAAAAATGCTAAAAAGTAACCATTATATTCAAGTGGTAGAACAAATAGGAAACTGTTTTTGGAAAAAACTTAGTGATAGATATCAAAATTCCAAAACATTGTGGGGGTTATCCTATTAAAAAAAAAAGAGAGAGAGAGAGAGAGAGAGAAGAAATTGCTACATTTGAAAGTATAAATGCAATTTATAAAAGCTGCAACAAATATAGATTTGTAATAATAGCTACTGGGAAACCATCAATATGCCAAGAGTAGAAATCTTGGTGCATGATGCCATCTCTAAGAATAATTAGTGCGACAAAAGCTTCCTATTTCTACTAGCTGAAAAAAAAGGAAGTGATTAGTAGTGAAATTAAAATTTGTATATTTTGTACTAATTTCTTTTGTTATTATTAAAGCACTGTTTATGCACAGCAAAATGACTGTGATCTGATGGGTCCTGATAAAGGTCTCTCTTTTGCTGACCCAGCTAGGTTAGTAACAATGGCTGTTTTTCAAGTGCCTGTTAAGACTGGGAAAACCCACAGAAACACCTGATGTGAGCAAGTGGGAACTCATGGGGAACCAACATAGGACCAAACCATGCCCCCTGAACTTGAGTGTCAGCTAGCAGAACTGAGCAGTCTATCAGGCCTCTGGCAGTGGAACCATGATGTATCCCTAGTACACGGACGGGACTTCAGGAGCCCATTTCCCATGGAGGGATACTTACTCCATTAGGCTAGATACATTGGGGAGGGCCTAGGCCCTACCCCAAATGACTTGACAGATTTTGATGATCCCTCATGGAAGGCCTCACCCTCCTTGGGGAGTGGATGGGATGGGGGAGTTGGTTGGGGGACATAGAAGGATGGGAGGGAGAGGGAACTGGGATTGATATGTAAAATAAGATTGTTTCTAATTTAAATATAATAAAAGAATATTGAAAAAAAGGGGGGGCCTGTTAAGGAATGTGCAGTAGCATATTGTGAGTTTCATTCTCCCGCTGAGGAAGAAGTTCTCTTAATGAAAGTGGGTCACACTAACTTCCACCAACTGTCCACGATAATACAACACGATGCACTTAAGACATTACCTCCAAAAGACACTGTCCCCTTTGAGTCAGCCTGGACTTGCTGTCTCAGAGCTTCCTGTTGTTCTTCTGTTGGCTGAATCCCGAGGTAATTGAGAGCCTGGAAGGTAATGGACTTAAGTGAGGTGATTTTTAAACCTCCAAAGGGTAAAACATTTCACTAGAATGATATTTTACAATGTAGTGGAAAACCAAATCACCAGGGGACCCTGACCAGACCAGAACTAAATCCAATGGGAAGTCTGTTGACTGTAGGTTAAATACCTATAAACGATTACCTTCCCGAGTCTGCCACACACCATCCCCACAACAAATATGTTGGCTAATGCCATATTCACAAACATGGCTACAGAACCAGAAATAAAATTGTTTTCTAGTATATGCGATTTTGCAGAAGAAAAATAACAGATTTTTTTTTTTTACTGAAGTCCAATTTATAGATACACTCAAGAAAAAAAAAAAAAAAAAAGAAAAAAGAAAAGCATTTGGTTGTTACCTTCAGACTAGAAATGAAGTTGATAGAATTGTGTTAAAATGGAAAATACTCTCAATTTTGGCTGGTTTCAGGCTACAAGTAACACCAAAGAATATGGAGATGTTTTCCCTGACACCCATTTCTCCATCAGGTTCTTCCGTTTGGGTAAAGTAAATTCTGTCTTTAAAGTTAATAAGTAAGTGTGTGTGTGTGTGTGTGTGTGTGTGTGTGTGTGTGTGTGTGTGTGTGTAGAAGCTCCCACTTATACTCTACTGTCCTTTCTGTGATCTTTAGCCCTAGACAGAACCAACCATAATGTCCAGGTAAAAGGCATTCACATTCCACTCTGCCTATTGGTAAGGGGCTATGTGATAGATAGCCAGTGGACAAGTGCTGGAGGGCATGTAGGAGGTCTCCTATCAAAAGAAGAGGAAGTGGTTCTCCCCTTTACCTTAAGACCAAGGGAGAAAGGTTAGAAGGAATCAGGCACCTTGTCTTACAAGGAACCTCAACATAATGGTGGAATAGGCTGTCTGTCTGAAAGGCTGGAATGTGGGTCCCTAATACTTGGAGCCACTGCTTCTCTCTGGTTATTTTCTTCTTCTTCTGGACTTCTTTATGGAAGCCAAAATTAAAACATTAAGTTTCTAATGGAAACCACTGCCATTTGGGATTCTCTAGTTATATTTAACCCAAACTAATTTCAATGCACAAGAACAGACTAGGTGGCCTATCATTGGATTCTACAATAGCACACACAATGTCAGTCACATTAAAGCTAAGGAAATCACATTAAAACGAAACAATATCCTTGACAGGCACCTTCTCATTTGGAGTATGTTCAAATAGTCACCAGTTCTTTAACCAACTACTTATTTGGTGCTTACTATTTGTCAAGCATATTAACGCTGTGCAATAATATCAACAAATAGGGTGCAGTCTCTTGCTAGTAAAGTGTATTGTCTTTAGGGTGAGAATAATATGCAAATGATTTTAGTAAGTACAGTGTTTTATTTGATGCAAATGTATAGAGGACACAATATCACTAAAAGCATTTGTTTATTATACAGGCACACAATTTGACTGGGCACAGTGGAAGGAAATGGGAAATAGGCTGAGTATCAGGAAAGATACTTTAAAGTGGTTTTTTAAATTTGGTCTAGAACCATCCATCCATCTATCCTGTCAAAGCCAGAATAAATATTGTTTATTTAACATTCAAGAAAGATATTTAGACTTTGTGAATGTGTATTCCTTTCATCTTGAAAAATAACAAATATTTTCTGAAAAGAACACAAAGGACACCTAAGTACTTGGTTATCTTAAAATACTCAATGATATTTGTTTAAAATATACACAGATTTCCAAGAGATGAGACTATAGATTGGGTTGAAAGCATCCTTAATCAATCTTCACAGTAAATGCTGAACTAAGGTCATTACATTCTTCTTGCCCATTCTTTAGTATTACTTAGCATGTAAGTACATGTCCCCTAAATAATGTCCATTTTAATTTGTGCACTTAGAATTTTATATGAATGGTGTATGTAGCTTACAAGGATAAGTATAAATCTTTAATTTCATCTTAATGTAACAATTTCACAGTTGTTTGGCATTGGCTACATACATAGTTCACTTATTGCCTATTCTCTGATAGGTATTTATAATTACTTCACCTCTTTTATTATAAAACGCTATACATGTCCTCTTTTATAGATGAATGTAATTTTTTCTATGGTAAAGGGGAGGTGCCGAGTCACAGGCACGGTGTCAGCTTTACTACTGCCCTATTGTTCTTCAGCTATGCGTGCTCACTTACACACGCCAGCAACATATAAACAATCTTAGCTTCCATCATTTGTAACAGACTTTGTCAGTTTTACGTCTTCACTGTGTCACAATACCAGAAATATGCTGTTAACTTGAATTCCTCTAGTTACAAGGAAATGAGACATACTTTGCATGTTTGTTAGCAAAAATTGACTCCTGAGTTGTTAGAAATCCTATTTAAATTTTAGGACATAGAGTTCTAGGATACAAATTTTAGTTCTGGTTGGGGATCTGGATTTGGTCTCCACCACTGACAACCAGCACAGTAGATCTGGCCAAATGTCCTCCGAGGAAGAAAACATACTCCTGATGTTGAGAAACATTGCTCCGGGTCAATCACTATTGCCAGTTTATGTGGTTTTCCAGATTTTTCCCTCTGAATGTGGTGCCTATGTATATGCTCAGACTCATTCCATATTTTACAAATAGTTTTACTCTATATAATGTTTAAACTTAACTCTATATAAAAATTTATCACAGCTTACCATGCTATATATTTTCCATCTACTGTATGCTTTATGCAATTGTTCTAACAGTATACTGTTAACCGAACCAGCCTTTTGAAGTTCCCTCTTTTATAACTATTAGGTGATATCATATTTTCATTGCCTAGCCATCCTTCTACAACACTGGCCACTCTTTGTTCTAAAACTAATTATAAATGTACACAAGATTCCCTGGCTTATTTGGCTTTTCATTTCTGAAAGCTTCTGTGAGAAGTAAAACCCATAGTTTCTTCTTGTTGGACTGTTTTTCATTAGGGTGTTTCTGCCTGGAAACTAGTAACAGGTGAGGAGAGACCCATGGCCTCTTCTATATGCCAATAAAATGTTGGCTTAAGCAGAAAGAGATTATAAGGCAGTATGACATGACAGTTAGTGCGACAAATATGTAAAATATGGCAGCATTTGCCCAAGCAATTATAGTCAGGAAATACTTGGAAAAGATGTAGATTTGATCATCATTTAAACAATAGGAAGATTTAAACTGGTGGTGAGAAGGGAACTTGGAACTTAGCAAAGGTAGAGAGATGAGAATGAATAATTATGATATTTACTCTAATTATAATATTTATTCTAGCTGTGTAATTTCTTATTCTTCTACAAACATGAAAATCACAGGAAGACAGGGTGTCGAGTTCCAGTACTGTGTCCAGATGCAGTACAGTTTTCCTCTAAGCTCCTCAGAAAAGTCATCAATTCTGAAGTGCTTTTCACCTGTGAAGTTTCTGCTTTAATCATCTTCTGTTTCTTGTACATGATGCTCTCAATGCTTTAGTTAGTGCATTGCTGTCATCTCTTTGAATTTCATGTGGACCCGGCTACCTTCATTGCACTTACTGCTACGGCATATGAAGGCTACTGAACTTCATCAGAATTTTGATTACAGTTGGCAAGATATATTTATTTGTGTGTGTGTGTGTGTGTGTGTGTGTGTGTGTGTGTGTGTGTGTGTGTGTGTGTGTGTGTGTTGTGGGGTACATATGTGTGGGCACAAAGCTCTGTATGGACACCAGAGGCCAATATCAGCTATTATTTCTCAGTCGCTTTCCACCTTGATTTTCTGAGACATGGTATCTCATTGGCTTGGAGTTTGCTAAAGAGACTAAACTGGTATTTTAGAGAGGGTTCTAATTCTATGGTAAACATTATGACCAAATCAGCTCTGGGAAGAAAGACTTTATTTCAGCTTACAGCTCTCAGGTCAAATGCTATCAAGGAGGAAAGTCAGGGCAGGAACTCCAGGTAGAAACCTGGATGCAGGAACTTAAGCAGAGGCCATGGAGAAGTTCTGTTCTTCTTACTAACTTGCTACCCATGGCTTGCTCAGCCTGCTGTCTTATACAACCCAGGACCAACTGCCGAGGGTTGGCAGTACCCACTGTAGGCTGGACCAATCATTAATGAAGAAAATGCCCTACAAACTTGCCTATAAGACAACCTGAAGAAGGCATTTTTGTTTTATTTGTTTCCAAGTGAGAATCTTTCTTCCCAGATGACTTCAGCTGTGTCAAGTCATCATAAAAGCCAAACGAAACAGGTAACTGGCCAGTGGACCCCAGAGACCTGCTTAATTGTGCTTCCCCACAAGCCTGGCTTTTTACAATTTGAGTTCTGGGGCCTGAACTTAGATGTTTACTAAGTTATCACCCTAGCCAAAGAGAAAGGAACTCATTTGGATATCAGTTTAGTAACCAAATGTTTTATTTGTATTTTGCACTAGTGAACTACTATGAACTTCCAAATTTAAATGTTATTAAATAATTGAAACACAAACTGTCACTCATTTAATTAAATGAGCTGCTTCAAGAAACCAATGGCTCCATAACATGCTCCTCTCCAAGAACAAGGCAGCTCTTTCCTGCTGCCTTGTGAAGAAAATATGATTTTAAGAGATTTACCATTTCCAGTTTCTCTGCCTTCAGGCGAACAGAAGGATTTAGGGAAATCTTCTTTCCTTGTGGTCCAGAATCATCACCAGTCCAGGCAGGAGCAATTTCTAGGAGACAACAGGGTGCACATTAATTGGAGATCTAATTGGAATAGAACTTTTCATTTGACAAGCTGTGTTCTGGGCTCCTGCTGTTCAAAAATAATTCTGGTTAAACAGTTGGCATGTCTTACTTTTGTTTTATGAATTTTTTCCCCTATAAGTCTAAAACGTATCATATAAATCAGCTTTACTTGAGTGCTGAGGGATATAATATGTAGCATAGTAAATTATACATTATGGATTTTATGGAAACATTAGCCTAAAAGACAGACACCTAACCATTATGATGCTCACCACAAAGCCCTGGTAACTGAAGACTCAAAGCCTCCCTTTTCAAGCAAATGAAATAATACTAGAGTCAGAAAGACCATGCTATTTCCTTGACTGGAAAAGATAGTACCACTACGGGAACTGTGGAAATAGTCTAGAAAAACTAAGTACAACTTCTAACATTTATGCACAGAAGGACCATGTGGGCATGCAACTTTCTGAGCTAAAAAATCCTCTTCCATTTTACGCAAGGACTGTTTCTAGCAGTAAAAGTGGACCTTTAAGAGTTAAAGGAAATACTCTCCTCATCCATTTTTTCCCTTTATGTTTTCAATGCAGCTTAATTATGCAGATATTCATTTTCCTGTTTGCAGGAATGGAAAATTAGGTGCCACCAGAGGCCAGCCCTTGAGAAACGATTTAATATGCTACCGTTTGAAAGACAAATTTCAACAATTTATGTCAGTCCTTCCCATCTAAGTTGTCACTGTTCTAAATACACTTTTAAATGGTATTTTACTAGTTCTACATAGAAACAAGAGGAAGAGAAAAAAAAACTTTTTGAAATGTCACATCTTTATGCAGTGTTTTAATTTTTTTTAATTTCTCAGAGCATCTGTCTCTAAGTACAGAGTGATTTGCATTCTCTTTCTTAAGAACATAAGAAGCACATATGAAGATAAAGAGTCTTCCTCTAAACCTTTAACACATCCTCAACATTCTATGCAAAATCTTTAATATAGCTTATAGGTGTTAAGAGGATATATAAAAAAAAATTGTCACTGACTTTTAGCTCCAAATGGAATTAAACCTTGAGAAGAGTTGATTTTTAGTGTGACAGAATTTTTACAGTTCTGGTAACAGCAAGGAAGACTCTTTTGTTATCATGACATCTAATTGTTGGCCATGAGGTTAAAAAATATTAAATCCCTATTTTTAAGTATTAAGAGAAATTCTGTGGCAAACTTACAGTGTGGCAGAAAAGATTATCATGGGCTGGAAAGGAATGGAAGAGCAAAGGGAGGTAAGGGAACTCTATTTCTCAACTCTAAGGCTGCATCTGGAGACCTGTTTTTCCAGTTGGTGCCTGACCTACAATTAAGGGTTACTAACATGGGGTGAGCTGAAGCTAACCCGTTGGTGGTTTCAACCCAAGACTAACTGGCCTTGAATGAGTCAGTTCAAATTTAAGTGTGTGAAAGTGTCACCGAGTAGATGAACGCAATGGGAAGAGGAGAGAGAAGGGGACATATACCAAGGTACACATTTTTACTATTTTCCTAACGCTAAGCATAAAAATCTGATGTGGCAAAAGGTAGAAATAACAAGTTAGCTCTATTGTTTTTTCTCTAGGCGGATAGTGGATGAATTAGACTTGAGTTCATTAATCTTCATAATAACAATGACATGGGTGTTATTCTCACCCCCAAACCAGGGTCTGACAAAGTAAAGAAATTGGCACAGGCTGCTTGTCTAGGCCATGTCAATGCTGCGGCTTTCAATTCTAGTGATTCCATGTTCTTTTCGTCATCAAATTTTCACCAGAGTAGAAAGACTCAAAACGATATTTGACAAGGACTAGAAAGGCAAAAATCAGTCAAGTCATGGAACTGAAAAAGAGACATTGTGTGAAGAGGAAAGGGGAGACAATATAAAACTATCCCAACCCTCAGTTTAATAGCAAGAAAGCTCTGTGCCTTGACAAAAGCTTGTTTTCTTCAGCCTGCCTTCCTCTACATACTGACTTCCCGGGTTAATTCTTGAAGACACTCGTGTATAACACCAGTGGTGACAGCTCAGAGTTGTTTAAACCATGAAGTCCCTCACAGACCTCAATTGCCAATGACTCTTCCCCTCTCTCTCTCCCTCCCTCCTTCTCTCCCTCCCTCTGTCCCCACCTCAACCTCCCATTTGCTCCTCTCTGGGAATACTCTATTTCTGCCCTTTTTAGGATGAGAAGAAAGGAAATGCTTCATAAGAGTACGATCAACACTATAATTTTTGTTTTTAATTTTACACAAAGCCTTAGAAGATATATCTTCTCCATCAGCACTGTTGGAGTTCTGGAAGACTGAGTGCAAAGGAATTAAGTCTTGTCACACTGCTAACCTAATAACACCATTTCTTTTTCCCCTAGGAACAGTTTCAGTTTATTTGAAGTTTACTCATATCATTCAACTTACTGCCATAATAAACAATTCTGAATTCCCAGATATATATACATATATATATATATATATATATATATATATGTATATATGACAGATAATCTTAAATTATATTCATGTATAATACTGATCTTAAACATATCTAATTGCAGATATCCTGAGATGGAAATAGACAAGAGCATCTTATATTTATTGTTGTTGAGGTTAAGTATTAAAACTTGTTTACATTTTTAAAATAAATACTGCAATGGTTTGAATTTGAATACCTCTGTGGGCTCATAAGTTGAAACTTGGTCCTTAGCTGTTGGTATTATTTAGGGGTGTTATTGAGTTAGGGAAGTTTTAATTGTGGGGCCTAGCTTGTGGAGGGGAGTCTGGAGGGCTGTCTGCGTCTTTTGATGGTTTATATTTACTTCTGATTTCAGCCTTCTCGGCAGCCTGATAGGGTACCTGTGTGGGAAGCTTTGCCACATGCTCCCACAGTTACATGGTTTCTTAGCCATACCTTTTCCACCATAATGTACTGACTGTTCACCCCTGAAACTGTGAGCCCAAATAATCTTGATTTCTTCGTCAGGTATTTGGTTCACTAATGAGAAAATGAACTAATGTGAATACCAACCGACTAAAGGAGTCTAGAAGGTGATACTTAAGGACCTAATATGGGAAATCTATGCTGATGTACTTACACAAGAGAAAGCACAACATGGGCAAGTTACCTGGAGACAATTTTGAGAGTTCCCACTCCCCTTTAGTGTAATGCCCCATCTAGTAAATCTCCCCTGCTGCAATTATGTAGAAATAAAAATGAGGATCTGAGTTAATGCTATTTCTATCCTAGAAAAATATTCTGTGTTAATATGTTAATATATAAAGACTTGCTCAAATATATTTCTGCATAACTGCTTTCCTATTCCAAAATCAAGCCTGTTTCCAAAATCAAGCATATTTTCTTATAGTCATTGGAACAAATCTCACTTTGCTTACTGTCATAAGCCATCGCACCTGCCTCTTAGGGTCTCTTGGACTCACTTATGTGAGATCTGTGCTCTTGCTCTCGGCACCTCCTTAAATTAGGATGATCTTCTGCCTGCTCCCTTTAAGACTTAGATAACGTCTGATTTTTGAGGAGGTGAAATTTCTTGTTTTTTTCATATTACCATGAGTCCTTTGCTGTATCCCAGGAAGAACATAAAATTGGCTCACCTGTAAGAAGCCCTCACTTCTGCTCTAAAATCATGCTCTGGCTCTGGAAGATCATCTGAACTACATGTTTTTCCAATACGATTAATGATAAAATTACTGCTGAGCATATACCTTGTGTCAATCACAATGCTAAGTGTTTAACATGTGTGACCTTTAATCTGTAACGTCCCCTTAAGCAACTGTCTCCAGGTCATGGAACTAATAGACCTCCCAGGCTGCTCCTGTGTTTTCCTGTACAATTGGCTGTAACCACTTGTATCCTGGAGCTTCTCGTTCATTCTCTCCTTAAGTCTACTTTGTACATATCTTTACATTATTTGTGTACAATATAAAATCCATATACATGTACAAATCTATGAAGAAATACATACATTCTTAAATAATTTCTGATTTGAGTAATTAGGATGCTAACATAATCATTTATTTTACAGAAACATTAAGTAACTCACAGAAAGATCCTACATCTCTCTGGAATTCTTGCTGTGCTGTGTTCATTGCTAACTAGGTAACATTTAGCAAATGTACTCTAAATGAGTGGCTAAGGGGACTAATTAGTTTGGTTACTTTGAAAATTGGAAACTTATTACACACGTTGTATAATTAATGCTTTACAATATAATCAAGGTACAAAGGACCCTGACTTTCCTCATGGTGCAACTCTGGCTGACCCTGCATTCTTGGATTATCTGCTTCATTCATCTCTCTTCTTTCCATGTAAATTCTCAATTTAAAATACAAATAGTCTATCAAGAGACTGGATGTTAATTATGTGAAAGGAATACTAATTAATTGTATTTCCAAGAATCACTAAATCTCAGTAATTAAAAGGTATATAATTTTGGCTAATGATTACTAACCCATCAGAAAATACTTCCACTAATCAGAGGAAATACATGAGGAATGGAACATAAATCCCCATGAAATCTGTCTGATAGTGGCTGTTCCTTCCTTCCTTCCTTCCTTATGCTGGGGCCTGAAAACAGGCATTCATTTGTCCATGTCCTAGTAGCTACTTAATCTAAACTAGATCACTTTATTTTGTAACTCTTAGCAAAAATAATGGCATTAAAAATTAATACATGTGGGCTTCACTTTGAATTATAATTTAGCACTATGTAATTAGCCTTTTAGTTACATTAAATATAGTTTCTAAATTGTGTTCCCTAACTTTTGGAGATAATTTCAGGGGAGGAGTTATTTTTCTTGATATCTGAGACAATAAGAACTTTATGGTTTGATTAAAAATCATTTTCTATATGTATCTTAGATAATTTTGATTTTATTTTATTTAAAAACAAATCACCCAGTCATTTTAGGGTAATTCAAAAAAATATCAAAGTCAGCATGGTTGTCCTTTCTAATTTATATTCATAAAATATTTATCTCCCAAGACAAGCAAACATTTTTCCTTCAGTTCTATTCCCTTTATACTGTGTTTTCAAAGGTGCATTTGAATATCTCATGAGTATGTGAGAAAAGGGGTAATAAATTGCACCTTGGATGTAGAATCATTTCATTACTTGATTACCATTTAACTACTACACCTCCATATATACATTTATTATAATGCAATTCTTAAAATTTCAACTTTATGTTCAAATAAATTCCCAGAAAAAGTCAAAATTAAACAGAAAGCAACAAACAATACATTCATTTTGTTCGTTTACACATTGAAGGAAAAAGCTGTAACATAACCTTTTTTAAGGTCTATGGAAAGTCATATTATGAATTCATTAAAAAAGACTAATTGAAGAAAAAAGTAACAGGAATTAAATGTGAATATACCTGAATTAGATGTATCTGTTGGGCTGTTGTCCAAAGAAGTAATTGGAGTATGTTCTGTTTTATTGTATCCAAGTTTTGTCTGTGAAAGAAAATGAGGGAGATGATGTGTCATTTTCTAAAGTAGGTCACAGACCAAACTAGATATGCCCATGTTAACATAAATAGAATGTTTAAGGAGATCAAAGCAATATTTGAAAAAGTATGAATCTCCTAATATTTGGTATATTCATCTTCAAAGAAAATATTTCAGAGTTGAAAGTAATAATGGTTTCGGCTCTACAGTGTGTAAGGATAACAGAACAGAAGGCCATGTCCCTTGCCTTTTAGAAGATACCATCTAAGGACTGACAGGAAAACAGTCTCTCTGGTCAACATATACCTTGAACAGACCTTGCCCTTAAATAACTTATCCTGTTGACTAGAAGTCTACCTGTTTCTTGTTTTATTTTATTCCTAACACAAATTTAAAGAATATGGAGTCCACTTGAGAATTGTGATTTAATAGGATAATGTAGCATATTGAAAGCAATTGCATTAACTTGGCTATATAAATTCCCCATTTTGTAGGAATTAAATAAGTAACGTGAACTATTTCACAAGACACATATGCTAGGGTGAAGGGAACACTCTCTATAGATAGGATGGTCAGGATTTGCCTCAGGACATAAGGAGGAAACTAAGAACTACACATACACACACACACACACACACACACACACACACACACACACACACACACACACACAGAGAGAGAGAGAGAGAGAGAGAGTACCTATCTTCCATGAGGTAGGATGTCTAGTAGTATGCTGATCTTTTCTGATTAAATTTTAAAAGAAAGGATACATTGACTTTAAAATCTGTAGTTTACATAATAAAAATCTAAAAATGAAAAAAGTCTTTAAAGGAAATACTAACTTATTAGTAAGTATTATTAATGAAATTAAAATTCTATATTGACTTAATCAACATTAGAGGAAAACATAAGGGATTTATGGACTGAATGTTAAGCTGGAGTTTAAGATTACCTGAGTTGCTTTAAAAGAAGGTAACATGGGGTCCTGAGTCTTGGGAGTGGAGGAGGTCTTCGGAACTAGTGTTTCAGGGGGAGGGGAAAGAAGATTAAATGAGGCTTGAGGCCCACAGTCTTCTGCAGCTTGTAATGGGGATGGACAGCAAATATTTCCTGGATGGCCACTGTAAGATTTTTGTCTGATAAACGCTATCTCCCAAGGAGATTCTGACCTAAGATGAAAGAAATGACTTTGTGGATATGCAACAAATGCAATCAAGTAAATTCAAAGATAGTGTTTCCAGCAGAGTAAAAAAAAAAAAAAAAAAAAAAAAAAAAATCACTCATCCTATCCTATGGATGGAATTGTTACCTCAACTTGGCTCTGGTGATTATGTTTTTTGCTTCTTCAAATGATACACCAATCATAGATTCCTTGTTTACTGAGACAAGTTGATCTCCTGGCTTCAAACGTCCATCCTAAAAAGAAAAATCAAAGAGAAAATTATGAAAGAAGAATAAGGTAGTTTTATTAAGATTAACATAATAAAACCAATTAATTTTTATGAATAATGTCACAAACACAATGTAAAAAAAATTAGATCATCCCAATAGCAAAATGTCTTATTGATACCTGGTTAAGTAGTATATATAAGTGAAATGGTGTGGCTTATCCACATAGTGAATACATTGTCATACTTATGAATCTGCTTAGGAAACAGGCCTGTGTGCCGGGAAAGACATGTGTTTTCAAAGCTCAGCACTATGAGTCTGATAAGATTCTGACTGATAAAGCAAGCCAAGCACTCACTGCACATTCACTAGTATGCCATAGTGAATGAACATTCTTCTATCTTTCCTTCGGTTAATGGAGATGTGAAAATACATGCACACACAGCATGTACCTACACACATCTACATGTAATGCATACACACATAATATACATATGCATACATATACATGTGTGCATATATGCACACAATACAAACATGTACATATATTTACACACATACATGTAATGCACACACAGACATACATGCACACACACAAACATGCACACAATACAAACATGTATATATATTCACACACACATATGCACACAATACAAACATTCATACACATTCACATACACACATATATGCACATGATACAAACATGCATACACATTCATACACACATACAAAGTCTACACATACGCATGAATATGCATGCTGATTTTTTTAAAATGAGGTTAAGAAACCTAATTATATTGATCCTATCCAAATCTCAGTTAATACTCAAGCATCCTCTTTACGAGGCCTCCTGTGGCTAGGCCTACTAGGCTGTGCATACAGCTTCATAGCTGTATCATGCTGATTTAACTGGCTGTCTTTGTTAAGCTCTGGCCCTGCACATAACTATCCCAAGTACATAAGACCCAGTGCTATAAATTACAAGGTTGATGTGGTGGCTAGGCCAGTATCTCAGTAACTTTTTTGTTTGGTTGGTTGTTTTTCTCCCCCCCCCCCCCCCCGTTAATTTAACTTTGAAGGAAAATTCTGTTCTTTTACAGACTCTAAGGTAGTTCTCTGTTCTCATTAGTATAAACACAGAATATATTATTTCTAGTACTACAGAAAAAGCAAAGGGTCAACTTCTGAGTACCCTCCAAAGTGCTGTGTGCTAGAAGCGTGGCTCCCACTTGGCATTGGCGGAAGCAGTTGTGACTTTTCAGAGGTGGCATCAGTGGGAGGCAGGGGAGCACCGAGGACAATCCCGGAAGAGGACTGGCTGTGGGACCCTGGTTTCTTCTCTCTCTCTCTCTTGTTTCTTGCACAGTAGATGAGCATTTCCATGCTGTCACATGTTGCCTGAATATGGTGACTTATGCCCAAAGCAACGAGCCAATCAATCAAGGACTGAAACACACACACATAAGAGTGTGAATCCCAACAGACCATCAGGTGACCAACTGAGGGATCTAGTAACAGAAGGCTGACCAACACACAAGGTTTAAAAAGTTTAGTTTTGAATTTAACAGTGTTGAGACAGTCTCTACAAATTCAAGATACTTGAAGTAAGATCTAACCTGAGTCAGGGAGTGCTCGGCCCCGAAACGGGACATATGTACCATGCCCTCCTGTACAGATCAGCAGAAATATTCAGAGAGGTCAGAGAGACCTGGAGTGAAGCATCATCTCCTGAACATGACAAGGCCTCTGCCATCATGAACTCACAGTCCCTGTAGCTCTCTGCACAAGCCCTAGAATCAAATCATTAAGCTGGTCAACATGCCAGCACGAGCCTCCCACCTGAGAGGGAATGGCATGGAGGTTGGCAGTCAGATAGATCGAAATTTGAATGTGAGCTCTGTAATTACTAGCAGGAACAATGAGAAAAAGGGATGCAAGAGCACATCCTCTTACCAAGAACCAGGAACCAAACTACAGAGAGTTGGAGCTACACCTGTATTAATGCCGGTTACGGAAAATCACTGCCAGGATACAAAGAGAATGGCTACAAAAGTCCAGATGGGACAAAGGGCTTGGACTGACCTGCAGCCTCCCTCATTCTCTGCTCAAGACATACAGTTCCTATGGCCGTATTTTACCTGTTTGTGTTAAAGGATATTTCTCAGAATGTAGTGGGAAGACAAGGCCTCTGGCTACAGATTTCTAGTGTGTTTTTCTTTGCTTCTTAGAATAAGATAATAACTGATCATATGGATTTCTGAACCTGTTTAAAAGTCAGAGCATTGACTGAAAACAAAGCCAGTTTTGTAAGTCTGGCATCCTAAGTGAGTGAATTCTGCCTCAGATAGATTGATATACAATATATGTGCAGACATGACTTGAGGGAATGCTGAGGCCTCTTCTGCTCACAGGTTACTGAGCAGCTGCACCACGTGGCAGGCAAAACACCAGGCATGTCTAAATGTTGAACTTCAGTTTGGACACTCATTTGACAGTAATGTACCTGTCAAAATAATAACGTGTTCCTGGCCACATACGTTCTTCTGTGGTAAGCTGCCATCACTGTTCATTTCAATTATGATTATATTATCAAGCTTTCAAATAACATCGTATGGCATTATCAGAAACCATCTATTGAGCCCGGTTCTGACAGAACTAATTAGTCAGAAAGGAAATGTTGCTTCTGTATTTGGATTCCTTTCCCAAGCTACAAACTAGATGTAGCCTTCTTTTAACTCTAATTACTACTGTAAATGTAAGAAAGCTGCTTAATGTCTGAGACTCCATTAGTTTTCCTAGCAAGAAAGTTGGTGTAAGTATCTGTAATATGAGCTCAGTGTAAGACTCAAAGAATGCATGCAAAACACATAGGTGGTAAATAAGGTGAATCAGTCTCACATTTACTGTGGAACCATGTTCAGGAGAAGCTCGGTTATACTGTTCTTGAAATAAAGCCTAGGAAAAATACGAAACTCCTTTACTTTCCAGTACTGCTGGAAACTAACAACTATCTTTCTCTAGCTTCACCACACACCTTCTATCTCAGCGTAAAATTTCTTCATCCTCTTCTCAGAGAATGTTCCTCACACCAGCTGTCATTTTTACACTTCAGTGACCTTACGCATGGCCACTTGCATCAAGAATGCTACTATCCACTCCCATTTCTCTAAAGGGCGACCCTCTGACCTCACAGGCAGGCCCAAACACTATCTGCCCTGAACCCGTGTCTCGGGATTTGCTTGACACTGTCCTTATTTACATTTACTTTCACCCCTTTGCAAATTAGAATGCATCAACACTGATATAGCTAACTCTCAGTCACACCCATTTCTTTGGCTGGCCCCATCATGATACGGTTTTTGGTTCTCTAGCACAATGCAAAGGAATCTAATAAGTCAACAAGCTAGTGAGGCCCGGGAACTAGCTTCAGGAAGTTAACATGGTCATGGGATAATGGAAACAGCAATGGTTAAGAAGAGAGTGAGGCTGCAAAGTGCGGCTTCCTCAGTGTTCACAACGGGACTGGTTTCTGTCTTCCAGAAGCCTTGCAGTCCTGTGTATCCAAATGCTTTGATTACAGGCCAGCAATGTGCTCAGCATAGCGTCTTTTGGAAGTGAAAAGTGGCCTGCTATGCTTTGTGAGCCATGACTGTGGGCACCTATGTCAAATGGGACCTTTGTCTTTACTTCCAAGCTTGACAAAAATTCCTCAATTTATCAAATCTAAGGTGACAATCACTGCAAGAGATCCCATTTCTTTATGTAGTGGGGAAGAATATTGCCAAGTACACAAGTTTGTGAGGGGCATTCCAGTTTCAGAGCTAGGAGAGGAAATATACCTTAAAGGCAAACAGGTACAGTGCGTAGCTACATATATTTACATTCTGTATGGAACTTACATATGTATTTTAAACATGTCTTAGGATCAGTAAAATGAAATGTGAAATGTTACTTCATATTTGCAGGAGCTTTATTCTTTATTGTTATAAATGAAAGAAAAGAAAAGAAAACATTTGAAAACTTCAAAAAATTACCCATCATCTGATATCTGGGCCAGGTAGGAGATGTATCTTGGTCAGGAGTGAAGTCGACAGCAGTGGAAGGGTAAACAGACAGAGAGGGACCGAATGATCGTGGCAACACCCACTCGTTAATATCTGAGTGAATCACATTAAGTGAATTTACTGTAACGAAATCGGATGGAGTCCTTCCTTGCCTTTAGGAGGCATAGTGACCAGTGGCTCAGCCTAGTTAAAATAATCAGACACTGATGTTTCATTACAAACTGAGCTAGGTGAAAGGAAGCATGGGAACAAAACCGAGCCACACACACAGAAACAATAAAACCTGGCTTTATCTGCAGTTGCACTGAAGGACAGGAAACAAGTCCTCTGCCAAGTGTTCTTTAAACTGACACCTGGCATAGGAGAATGGGAAGGAGGTGCCATTCCCAGCTTAAGGGAACAATACACCTACATGGAGATAAGGAAGGGTAGGCTCTCTCTGAAATAGGGAATGCAAGTTTGTGAATGTAGAGATGGTCAAAGAGAAGGGCTGGAGGCACAAGGGGGTCTACACAGAGGCTTGTAGGTTACTACTAGTAGTTAAGGTAGTTTGGTGGGACAGGAAATAGGCAAGGTGCATTAAGAGCAGATAAAGCTACTGTGTGTACCAATGAGAGCCAATGACAGACTAAAGCTTGAGAGCTTAGAGAGATGGATCAGTCAAAACACTGCCTGCTGTGCAAGAGAAGCCTAGTACAGACCCCCAGCACACACACACACACACACACACACACACACACACACACACACACACACATATATAAAATCAAGCATTGACAGCTCTGGGAAGGAAGAGAGAGGCTGATGCTCAGAGCCAACTAGCCAGCCAGTCTAGTTTAATTAACCAGTTCTAGGGTCAGTAAGAAACCCTGCCTCAAACGCTAAGGTAGAGAGTGATAGATAAAAACATTGGCGTTGATTTCTGACCTCCATTTTCATGTACACATACATGTACCTGTACCAACATACACATACACTTATACGTGCACACACACACACACACACACACACACACACACATATAAAGAGAGAGAGCGCATGACTAATGGGCTCAAGAGAGAGTAAAAGGTCAAAACTATGTGCTAAAATAAATTGGAATACGGTTTCTATGATATGGGAAGAAGGAAATGATTGGGAAAGAGCTTTGGAAAGCGATTGGGAAGAAATGAGGAGATGGTGTGAGGTAAGTGTCATGGATTGTGCCACTGTGCCTCAGAAATGTTGGTTCTGAGATACCTCTGGGAGAGCTAAGTGGAGATTTTCATCAGGAAGTTAGAAAGCTGAGTATGAGAATGACGGGACTGTTGAGGTCAACAGGTTTAGGAATGCTGTCCGAGGCCTCTGGACTGCCAGGACTAGGTAAGTGGCATGAAGGGGCTTGCAGATTCTCTTATCTCCTTATTCAGAAACCAGTGCGTTTGTTCTCAGTGTACAGGCTGCCTACAGCTCTTAGAGCTAACCAAATTCTGCTACAGGAGATCTGATGCCCTCTTTTGGTATCCATAGGTTTTGCATACATATGACATAAGGGAAAAACAGGTACATGTGCACACCCCCTCCCCAACAGTTTTTTTTTTTTTTTTAAATTATAGCCAACTTAAACTACACATGAAACAGAAATTCAGAAAATAATTAACAACGACGAGTCTGGAATTCTAGGAAGGAGAAGTTTGCAGCTTACGTTTCTACGAACATGTACACTATGTACAAATTCTGTATAGATTAAAATTGCGTTCTATGTTAGATCTGGTGGGTCAAATCTGTAATACCAGCTACTCGGGATGCTATGAGAAGAGCATACCACATGTTCTACCTGGACTCCAGAGTGAGTTCAGGACCAGCCTCGGCAACTTAGTGAGACCAGACCGTGCCTCAGAAAATCCAAGGTCACTAGAAGCATTTTATCAGTAAAAACTTTACATTGAGAGTGAATCTCTTTTGTATTTGCCGATAGCATTCCTTCTTAAGGAAATATGAACAAAGTAAACACAACTGGAGAATTACTTATTCTACACTTCTCTAATTGGTTTTCTTTTTTTGCTCATATCCTGAACATTAATAACTTCATGCTGCACTCTAGTGGTAAATGAAGAAAACAGTTCATCAGAAAGTTTTGTCTTTTAACACTTTTCAACCAATAAGAAGATGTATGTCCTGACCATATCTTAATTTGCTATGGTTTTGTAGTTAAAAAGCCATTTAAAATTACTGCTTTTGATTTATTAGTCCAATTTCAAATGTTTGTGGAAATAAAAGGGCACAATTGTTATTTGTTTTAAAAGCAAATCTGTATTATCTGTCAGGTACCTTGAACTATCATTGCCCCCTACCCAGAGCATCTCAGCAAGGCATGGTGGCCTGTAATATAAACATTTGAGAGGCTGAATTAGGACTGGCATGAGTTGGGGGTCAGTGTGGACTGTGCAGTGAGTTTCAGGTCATCCAGGTCTAAAACAAATAAAGTTTCTGTCTCTAACAGGTAAGCAAGCAAATAACTTAAACTACACTAAATGTGTCCCATCTCCCATTGTCCCCACCCACATCTCTAAGCTTTAAAACTGAAGAGTGAATCTCTTCATTCTTACCAAAAATAAAAATTATTGGGGAGAGGGGGATTGAGTTTGTTTAACTTTAACATTAAACTGTGTTATTTGGCTAATGATTTAATTTGGGTAGCTAAAATATATATCGTTATAATACCTTAAACTGGTAATAACTTACAACTCAGAAATATATTGGAGAGACGCTTAGTGTTTCTATTGTTGTGATGCAACACCGTGCCCAAAAGCAATCCGGGCAGGAAAAGAAAGCATTTATTTCACTTACATCTCCAGATAACAGCCCATCACTGAGGAAAGCCAGGGCAGGACCCAAGCAGGGCAGGAATCTGGAGGCAGAAACTGATGCAGAAGCCATGGAGGGATGCTCTTAACCTGGCTCGCTCAGCCTGATTTCTTACAGCACCCAGAGCCACTGCCACTAGGCCAGGGGTGTCCCCACCCATGATGGTCTGGACCTTCATATATCAATCACTAATTAAGAAAATGCCCCAGCTTTCCTGCGCCATGAGCTATGGCGGCAATTTCTCAACTTTTTTTTTCTTCTCTTGGATTACTCTAGTTGTTTGTGTCAGGTTGACAGAAAATGAGCCAGCACAGATGCTTTGTGAAATGAACAAACCCGAAACAGCTCAATCTTTACAATGATTTTGGTGGAACTGTTTTTTTTTCCTTCCTGAGGAAATAAAATCCAATTGAAAAGACAAACTGTTTGTTCTGTAAGTGCCTGCAGTGGGAGAAGGGCAAACTGTAATTATTTAACAAAACCCCCAAAGAACAACTATAAGAACAAACTTAGAAGATGCTTTCTCGAGATATCTAGGTTGACATGAATAAAACCTTAAAGAGGTGACAATGCCTACAGCATAGCAGGTTTGTTACCTAAGTTGCGGGAGTTTTGCTTAAAATTTGGCCCTGAATTTCTTAGCCACCAGAAAAAGAAATTGGAGCTCTCTCACATACTTTGTATACCAAGGATGAGACTAAGGAAAAAGGCTAGATACTGCCTGCTCTTAATTCTAATCTAGTTTCTCGCTTGCTCAGATACTGACTCTAGTCCCTTGTGGACAAATAATAAGATCAACTAGTGACTCAACGAAATTAGTGCAGATCAAGAAATGAGACAGTTCAGTTTGTGTTTTCCTTCCTTTTGCATTTAGGAGACCTGAGGAGTGCAGCTCAAGGTCAGGTGACCAGCGTGATCCAAACTCAGAAGGCACATATGAAGCATGTCTTCAGATACAGCTTCTCTGAATTCGGCTTTGGGGACAATTTGAATAATGTACAACCTTTAGTTAGAGTCTGACATATTTATCATTTGCAGAATTGGAGAGTGTATTTATATGTTAGGGAAAAGCCCTTGAGGGTAAAGGTCCCCCTTGCATCTTTCATTGAGGACAATCAACTGACATAAAAACAATTTACTGAAGGAAGAAAACCAATCTTACCACTGGTGGGTTTTTGCCATTACTTTATTTTGTTTACCTTGTAACAGTCGCCTCCAGGAATGACTTCCTGAATATATACCAACGGTCCTTCATTTCTGTCAATTCCGCCTAGGATCTTTAAACCTAGGCCTGTTTCCTTAGTAACTGTAATCACTCGGAAGGCAGAATCCCTAGGATAAAATATATTAGTACTCACAGGTTAGGCAAGATAACTGTACATAGAGGTTTCTGTCGGCTATTTGCTAGATCAAATTGTCAGATCTACATAGTCCAAAATAGTTTATGCCTACTAGCAATGACATTTGAAGAGGATCATAGAAAAGAAGTTAAATAAAATTTTATCAGTATTTTAAATCATCACATAAAACATAAGCAACTAGTGAGAGCAGTATGCCTATTTCTTAGGGGTATAAGGAAAGCAGGTTTTAAATGTTAGTTAAGTAAATTCATGGATTTATTTAAAAGGGCCTGAATTTTTTTTTATTTTATTTTATTTCATTTTTAGCTGATCATAAGACTGGTCCTAAAACCAATGTTTTACTGTATCAGGTAAACAACTTCATGATTATAGGTTCTTACAGCAAGACAAATTTACTTCCATATGAATCTCAAAAGATAACCCTTTTAACTTAGGAAGAGGGTTCTATTGTTACAAAACACTTGCTTCAGCTGTAATCTCTGCCACACATGAGAAATGTCACCAAAGGACAAGTGTCAGAAGAGTTCTACCCAAGGAATGTCACCAACTTGTATCTCTGAACATGCTGGTCTAACAAAACTTAAGCAAAGTTAGAGACAAAGCTGGGCTTCATGTTTCAACATTACTTAGTGAGACCCGTGTTGGAAGTACAAACATAAAAATGCTGATATATTTAATATTTATAGAACCCTTTGTTTTAGTTGTTTTCACACACACATATACACCCACCCTTTCATTTTAGACTATTCTGGAGAGTGGAATATATACATAGATACATATGTCTATATATATTTCTGTATATCTACATATGCATGCATTTGCTTATGCAAAAAGGAGAGCCAAAAAAGAACTGTAAGAATAACAATGATTACATATAGAAAGACAGAGGGCATAGGACAGGACAAGGATTAAAGGAGACCCTCTCTCCTTGACCCTGGCAAGATATGTTTACAATAATATTTACAAGTTTCTTTGGTTGATGTACACATGCTACTTGGTAAGGGGCCTTTCTATAAGTCATCATTACCTTTACTATTTCAATTCAACCTTGTCTATTAGATTACTTTGGTATCCATATGATACCAGCAAAGTCAAATGTGAGGAAGACAGACATTTGTAAAACACTTAATGCTGCCTGCTAGGAACTATTCTGCCACTATTTGACAAGGCCCAAGTTAGCCCCCTGAAGGATGAGAGATTAGATGAAAGGAAGTGAATTCAGTCACCCAGCCTTTGAGCTAAGGTGCCAGATACCCACCAGAATTTCTCAGCCAGCCCATAGAAATAAGGAATGCTTATTGTTTTAAGACATTTGAGGATAGTTAGTCAGCAAAAGCTAAACTTAGATACAATTTCAAAAGAATCCAACCAGATTAAAAAAAAAAAAAAAAGTTCAAAAACCAAAAACCCCACAATCTGTACAAGGAATTTTAAAGCGAATGCAGGGTTTACTCTGTGTAATGCTTTACATTTTACTATGGTTTGGAGTTGTCCCCCAAAGGCCTGTGTAAAAGGCTTGAAGTGGCTATTGAGAAGTTACTGGTGGTACCCTCATGAGGCAAGGCCTAGTTCTGGGGCACTAGATCACTGGGAGAAGGGCCCTGAAAGCATCACTGAGACCTGCCTCTTGGCTACTATGCAGTGAAGAGACCAGCAGGTACGCGATGTTGCTGTGTCTCCAAAGGCTCAGAGAAGAGAGCACACACCGAAATCTGAGCCAAGAGTCTTTGAAGCTCCAAAGTTGATTATGCAGGTGTTGTTATCACCAGGGTGGAAGGCTCACTAGCACACACCAAAGCCCCAGTAATGTGTGAGCTTCCCTAGGACACAGAGCTACAAAACAAAACAAAACCTATCAGTGCACACATTTTCAAGCATATGAAATTACATTTAAAAATTACTTTTCAAGTAGACTGGATGGTCCTGCAGCAGATGTATGTCTCTCCATGCTTTCACCACAGCTGCTTTGTATGTCACAGCTGTGTAAACGAAGAACCTGAAGAGTCTAAATAGTCTTCTTTTCTGCAGACTGGAATAACAGAAAATACATTTTCAAGTCTTAGGCCATTCCAATACCGTTCCAATGCCACATGAAGACATTATATATACTTGGCAGTAGACAACATATGCCTGTGTATTTCTATTGATGTATTTATCAATACATCAGCTATATGACCTTGTGGTCATCGCTGGTAATATCTGAAATATTAAGACAGCTCTCGATACACACAGCTGGACCTATCCCTACATCACTATGAACATATTAAATCCATGCTCTGTAGAACAGGTGAAGACTACAGCAATGTCTTTGGCAGTTATTGCAACTTCCCTGAGCGGTGAGCTCAAAAATGCACAAGACTGGAAAGTGTCTCCCGTGAGCACAGGGCTATGGATTGCACAGTCAGAAAAATAATTATACAATATAGTTGAAGAAAACAGAAATTCCTTTCTCACCAATTCTCCCGAGGGTCTTCTTGCAGATTCTATATGACTGCAGCTCATAATACTCTACTTCACGTGTTTTTTAAACACTTTCCTGTGAAAAAGACATGGCTTTAATGTCTTATATAACCCCGCAGTGAATAATACTGGGTTGCTTAATTAAAACAAACTACACTCAAGCAGAGATTCACTGCCTGTGAGTGAGAAATACAAACAGAGCCAAGGAACTTCCCTTTAACAACATGAATGCACACTACAGGTAATCCTTTAACTTTCCCTCAAGTGTACTCAAGGGAGGATAAGATATATTCTAAGGTTAAAGTGTCATTTTGTCAAAATGTAGGTTTTGTTTAATTTTCTTTTTAACTGTGACATGGTATAATTGATTGAAAACAGCCAATAATTTAAATTTGAAAACCACATCTGGATTATCCCTGTGCAATCCTTCTAAGTAAAGAACTGCGTGAGGAGACTCAGAGGCATTGTGCTTTTCCACACTGATGCGTGGCGCTTGCTTCCTCAGCTAGAACCTGGGCTTTGGGGCCTACAGAAGAGATCTTGGCATTCATTACCCCTGGCTCCAACTGATGCTTGTAGGCTCAGCCTCATTGATACAAAAGGCCCCTTGATAGCAGTGTCCATCACTGCACATACACATTGGAGAAACTCACCAAATGTTTCCTTTATCTTATGTTTACTCTGAATCGATTACAGAATCAGAGGACTAAAACCAAGGGTTTATCCTATCTTTCTCCCAACCACTGTACACAAGAGAAATAAAAACCTCTTCTCTATACAAACCCAAGGGACCCTGGACAAAGAACCAACAATCAATCTTTAGGCAGCTTAGCAAAGAGTCATACTCCTTGGGCCTTACCGACATAGCTGGACTTCCCAGCACCCTACAGCAGCAAGTGGAACAGTGGAGGTAGCCATGTCATGAGTGGCCAGAGAAATGATGCCACCAAGACACTGCATCAGCAAAACTCCAGTGGCAAGAAAGTCACTCAGTCATACCCCTCGGGAAAGGAAAGATGATGACTTGAAGGAAGCGCTTTGATTGACACTGACTCAGAGGCTATAGCCATAGAGAGTTCAATTCTAAGAGTATTTGCACGGACTTTTCAGATTGCTTTAATAACGCAGCACAAGCAGTCTTAGCCCTAAAGAAAGGACATCCAGATACAAAATAAGAGTAGCTACTGTTTATTGATAGCATGCACCACAGATTATATGAAATATTTCAGATGCATTTATTTTATTTCACAGAAAATGTAACAGATGTAAGTTGAAGAATCAAAGTTCAAATTACAATATTGCCACGAGCTAGTGACACGGCCTCAGAAGTCAATCAGCCTTTTGGCATCATCTCATACTAATGTAGGAATACCAACACCTAGCCCAAAGGGCAATATGAAAAGAGGGAAGGAAGGAAAGAGAGGAGGGGGGAAAAAAAAAAATCCCAGCAGCTTCCTACTGGTTACTAAAGGGACTAAGATCCCCATCTAGTGGTGGTTTGTCCTCACAGGCCACAGGCCCTCAAGCCTCCCTGGAACACATCCAAATGTAAGCGTGCATTGATGCTATATTGGATTTTGTGTAATGCCAAAATTGGCATTTTAAAAGCAATTCTATTTCAAAGTATTAAAATTTAAGTGCCCAAATTATTTCACTCACTTAAACATGCTGAGCAGGGCACTACACACACGGTTACAGAAAAATAACAAGCAGAAACTAGTCTCAGAGACAGTCAGAAAAACACCAGGTGACAATGTTGCTGACAGTGGTGTTGACAAGGGACCTGAGAAGTGTGGAGGAAGTACACCTACCCCAGAATTTGGAGTCATCACTAAACAGCAATGGAGCCCGGGGCCACTGCAGATTTTCTCCTCTGGGAGCCTCACAAGGCAAACAATATTAATCTGATTTTACACAAAAGATATAGAGAAACTATATGACTTATCTATTATCACAAGCCAGATGCAAAGTGTAACTTAAATATTTTTCCTAGCATTAAAACCCAAGCCTTTTCTATCTTAGAATGCTATGAAATAAATTTACCTGGACAAGTTCATTCTTAACCCTGCCCAAACTGGATGCATGCTAACAGTAGTAACATATTATCTCTTTACATGAAGACAACAGTATGGAGACTTTTCCAGGTGTGAGTGTGTGTGTGTGTGTGAGTGTGTGTGTGTGAGTGTGTGTGTGTGTGTTTTTTTTGCACAGCTCTGCACACAGTGCCTTTAATTAGAGATCAATATCAGGCTATCTTTCCTTGCCTGCTTTCTCCCTTTATCTTACTTTATTTATTTGTTTGCTTATTTATTTTTGAGACAGCATGTCTCCGTGAATATGAAACTGACCAAATCAGCTAGGCTAGCTTGCCAATGAGTTTTAGGGCTGTTATAATAATAATAGAGTGCCACCCCAGGCTTATAACATGGACTCT